CCGTTAGTTCAGACTGATCTTCAATTCATTGCCAATACAACTGACAAGTAAAAAGCACAAAAGGTTTCTTTGATATTCATCTATAACTATTCCTTTCTTTTCGTTCTTCTGATCTTTAAACAATGATATGAAACATTCAATTTCATTCTAGTTTTTACTCTTAGAAAACTATTATACAAACTGACACTATCAATTCAGAATTATGTAAATTATCTGTTAAAAACCTGTAAATCCATTTAGCTTCATTGAGGACACTTGAGTCAATCAGTAACTATAGTATAATTTTTCATAATTCTTTATTGGTTGTTTGAAAAGAGAGAATCAATAAAAAGAACCTTTGTTTTTCAAATCGTTCTAAATACTTTGAGAAAACAACTATTTGGGTTTTTTATCTAAATAAACATTTATTATAGATATACGTGTTGCACACCACATTGTACTCTTTTAGATAACTTAGAGAAAAAAAGCTTGTTAGAGCAGCCTCTTTGAGACTGAATTACGGAACTCACATGTCTTCCTCAGCTTCATTATACTAATGCAAAGTATACAAAGTGTAAAATCACAAAAAGACGATAATTCTTTTCCAATTATAGTAGATTATGAGAAAAAGCTGTGTTTTCTATTTCTATAATTCGAAAAGAAACTTTGGTTTCTTTCTCTATGGACATTTTATTTTTCGTTTTCATGTTGCTATTCACTCGTTATTTTTCACGTTCATTCCGAGTAACGATTATGAATGACAATGTGTAATAGTACAATAAAAATCAAAATAGTTATTATACTTTTATTTCATTAATTTTCGATTTAAATTCGACGTTTCGATCATATAAATGATCATTATCAAGAAATGTATATCACCGACTAGTACAGGATACAAAATAAAATTATTTCATATGGTATCTCGGGCTTTAATTATTATTAGGTTGTGTGTACTATTTCCTCTGCTTATTCATGATTTACTTCTTGATAATAGTCACTTAGATAAGCAACACGTCGAATTTTTAATAAAAAAATTGATGAAATACAATTATAATCACTATGTTGATTTTTATTGCAATATTTCATTTTCGTATGTAGCCTTTCTTAATTTAAGATTATTATTGTAATATCAGCATTAAAGGGAAATCAGAAAATTTCCACTTAAAACTTACATTTACTATTTTATTCGAAAATATAAGTGAGTTCTACAAAAACAAACAATTTTTAAGTATACCCAGTCAGTCAACAATAGAGAAAAAACTCGTTTTTACGCGTTGAAATGTGCGCTTTTAACGTTTTGTAACGCGTTTTCCAGCAAAAAACGACTTTTAAACGCTTGAGCAACGCATATAAACGCGTTTTTTTCACTTAAAAGACAAAATATCGCGTTTATACATGTTAGAATGTGCGCTTTTACCGTTTTTCGAAGCGTTTTCAAGCGAAAAAAAACGTTAAAATAATGCGTTTAAACGCGTTTTTTTTCCGATCTTGACTGCCTGGGTACTAAAGACGTTATGAAATAGAAGTATGAATAGCTATCTTACATACAAACTTTTTAATAGATATTTCTGATCATAAGTTTTTAACAATTGGAAAAACAAAGATCCGTAACTGAACCTTGTCAAAAATAGTGCACGAATATCTAGGTAATTCACATGAAAATTAGTTCTTCTTACGATTCGTGCTATTGCTACAAACTTATGCTAAACACAAATGTTTTTCACGATACTCAGATAACTTTTTTTGTTCTCGCCTAAATACAGCTATAGGCTGATACAAATAGACACGCATATGTGTGTATGCATGTAAGCGAATGAGTGTTAAACTAATTCAGATTATGATTTTTTTTGTCATTGTTTTTATATCTTCCTTTTTGTTCTGTAGAACAACATATCATTATGAAGTCATAATATACAGCATACAAAATAGAGTAAACATGAACGATCAACATGTTAAATTTAAATTATATACTAAACGGATATTCTCACAGATACATTATATCTACAGAAGAATCATCTATTCGTAAAGTTGTGTTTCAATCGTACATTTTTATTTTCATCTGCAAATGAGAAAAGAATAAAATAACACTCTGTTCATTAGAGATACGCTACACAGATAATTAGGATTGCATCATTTACCTTAATTTAAAATTAAACTAAAACTTATTACTTATTACTTAATATTACATATTAGTGGATCAATTAATCATTAGTATTAATATCAAGCTTTTTCACCTAACACTTAATTGATTAATACTAAGAGTTTTAAATTAATTGCCATGAAGAAATTACTATGGGTAATGCTATAACGTTATAAGGGCTACATACCCGTGGTCTGTGCAATTCTGTAACATGTACTGTGGGAAGAAAGAAAAAAATCTAAGGTGAAAATAGATATTGGTTGAATTACCTTAGAAAAAGTACTGAGTTTAAGTTATATGTGTATTATGACAGTTTTCAGTTAGGCAACTGAATGAGTATCCTAAGAACAATATGATGCAGGATCTTGGTTAGATATCGTGCACAGCATTGTCTCATTACATACTTACTTGTCTAGTTTCCATAACATTCGATGAAAAAATTTTTTCATCGTTCAAATAGTTTACAACCTGTCCTCTTCCGCATTCAAATGTTGACTGTCTTTGCTTAGCTCTGGAAAGACTGCTCGTATATAAATATTTCTCAGAGATGATCTCTCAGTCGACAACAAGTGACATCTACACATGACCTTTTTGTTTTCTTTTCGAATTTAATGAAAATAACATTAAATTTAGTTAAAAAAATAATAATAGAATATTTTAAAAAAATGAAAAAAATTATGATGAGTAATCATTTTTTTGAAAAGAGTGATGAAGACGATGATGTTGTCCTTTAGTTACTTGTTCTGTTCTTGTTTTTTATTAGAAGTATGCATAAAAATAAGTCAATACTATAATTAGTATTGTCATATTCTGTTGGAAATAAAAGTTTTCTTAATAAAACAAACAAACAAAAAAAAAAGATGCCAAGTCAAGCAGAAACCGAAGAAGATCGTGAACAACAAAAAAGCAAAAAACCAGCTGGTTAAATAAAAAAATACTAATATTAGTTTAAATTGTTAATATATATTTTTGAAATAGATACAGCTTTTAAACAACAACGTTTACCAGCATGGCAACCAATAATAACTGCTAACACAGCATTACCGGTGTTTCTAATTATTGGTTTAACATTTATTCCTATTGGTATTGTACTTGTTGTTACATCCGAGCGAGTATGAATTTTTTTTCTTAACTTTTTGTTTGTATTAGTAATTTTTCTATAAAAAAAAGGTACTTGAATATGATATTGATTATACTGATACAAAATGTGTGAGTACAACCGCATCAGGCACATGTGCAGAATTTTTAGAAAGATACAGTAATACTGGTCAATCATGTAACTGTGAAATCAATTTTTATTTAGACAAATCATTTGAAGTTAGTTTACTTGTAATTTGAAAAAAAAAAACATTTTCTTAAAAACTAATTTTCTAGGGCGATGTGTATTTTTATTATGGTTTAATAAATTATTATCAAAATCATCGTCGTTATGTTCGTTCTCGAGATGATAATCAATTATTAGGTAAAGATGGTGCAGTTGCAAGTGATTGTCAACCATATCAAAAAGTAAATAATGGAACTGATTATGATTATGCACCATGTGGTGCTATTGCGAATTCAAAATTTAATGGTTTAGTATATTTTATTAAAATTATCTTTTATTTTTTTTTAAATATTATTTTAAATGAAAATCTTTAGATACATTGTATTTATCATATAAAGGAACAGAAAATGTTACACTAACAAATCTTGGTATTGCATGGTCAACAGATAAAGCAGTCAAATTTAAAAATCCAAAAAATGCTTCAAATTGTAAAGTCTTTATTTTGTTTTAATTTTGGAAGAATGAACTGGAGTTTTTTTTTAATAGATTTTCGTTCACATCCACAACCACCAAATTGGCAAGTGACAGCATGGCAGCTAGATCCATTAAATGAGAACAATACTGGTTATGAAAATGAAGATTTTATTGTTTGGATGCGAACTGCTGCAATGCCAACATTTAGAAAATTATATAGAAAATTAGAAAGAAATGCTGGAGGATCATTTGCAAATGGTTTACCACAAGGAAACTATACTCTTTACGTTACTTATAGTAATATTTTATTTTTAGTGTTTTGTTTTTTAAGAATTTATTTGTTTTTGTTTTAAAGATTATCCAGTAATAAGTTTTGCCGGTCGAAAACAATTTATAATAAGTACAACATCATGGATGGGAGGAAAAAATCCATTTCTTGGTTGGGCTTATATTGCTGTTGGAATTGTTTGTATGATTACATTCGTCGTCTTTTTTATTCTTCATAAAACATGGAAAACGTAAGAATTTTTTTTATTTAAGTTTCGTCTAATATTATCTTAACTAATTGTATAATTCATTTAAGTCTTAAACTTAAAAAAAAAATTATTTTTGTCCTATAAATCAATTAAAATATGACAGAATTTATAAAAACAATTCATTATATTCAATTGAAAATTTTTGTCTATAAAGATCATAAGAAACGTTTTTTTTTAATATTTCTAGTATATCATTGACAGAATACTACTCAATGTTGTTATTATTTGTTAATATAAGAAAGAACATCACATATTTAGTTGATCTTTTATTATCGTTAGAAATAAATTTCGAAAGTAGAGATACTTGTCACCATTGACAACCGATTAAAAAATCTTTTTAAAAAAATTGAACATTTCTGTTTTTTGTTTTTGGAGAAAAAAACCAATATTATATCATTTGAAATTCTGTCAAATTTTTCACGACTGAAATATAAAATAGAAAAAAATAAAAATATTCGATTTTAATAACAAATAGTTCATCTCTCACAAGATATATTTTCTTTAAAAAGTATCAGTTATTGGTTTATTTTATTGCCAGTAGAAGATATTCGATATTGACATAGAATAAATCCTTTAATTATTTCCATGTTGATAACATATCAATGATATAACTTTTTTTACGTACGAAGTCTTTTTTTAGAGAATTATCAATGTGTCCACTTTTTTTAACTAATTCTTGGAAAAAAATCTAATAAATTTGCGTTATGTTCAGATTTTTCCTCCAAAATGTTCGATTTTTGACAGTTGTGTCATCATTTTTCACAGAAAGTGAAATAAAAATGATCAGAAAATGTCGTTACGAGTTGAATAGGACTGAGGATAGAATGGTCTAGCGCTGCAGCTCATCTCTTATGAGAGAGACTAGCTTTTTAGTTGATTTCGTTCTTTCCTTCGGTCACTAGTTCTAGCACTTCAAGAATGAAAGCACTTTATGTGAGAAGTTTTGGAGTTTTTGTCGATGTTATGATCTGCATCTTCTTCAGATGCAGTCATAAGGATTTTTCTCTTTCTTGTATAGGATTATACCTGTTAACTTACGTTCGTCTTCTTTTCTCTTACGGTTTAGTCATGTATTGTAGGTTTTTTCTTTCCTCTCTATATATAGTATTACGTCCTCGAAAAAGTAATTGTAATATTTGTTGTGAATATAATGATTTATTGAATGTGAACAGTGGAAAAATAACATTTGTCCAAAGGGTTGACATTATCCTTTGGACCTATTAAATTTCTTTTTTAGAAGATAAAAATGTTAATAAATCAGATTGTTATAGAACAAAAATCTTGGTTTGAATAGTCAAATTTTTATAAAATTGTTTTAAAATAAATGTTTCAATGAAATCATATTTGAATGTTATCTTAGATAAAGATTTATTTTAATAATTTCTGAAAGAATTGAATTACTTTCAATCTAAAATACATAACAATTTCTATTTAAATTTTTCGAAAAAATTAAGTTTAATTATTTTTTAACAAATGATTTTCTTCTTTCGATGATAATTGACATTTATTTGATAAATAGTAAAAAAAAACTGTAATTTAATTAAGTAATGATCCATTACCATATCAAATGGCTCTAATGCAAAATAATCAAAGAACAACAACAAGTTAACTTGTAAAGAGATAATTACTTTTTTTTTTTCATATTTTTAATTTGCTTTCGCTATGCTCAGCTAGACTTTTATTCTATTATTGATTTGTTTTTATTTAAAAAAACTAAATATTGTTTTTCTTTCATTTAGACAAAATCGTCCTCCAATGTAATGTAATTGATAAACCAAAAGAAAATGTTCTATTATTAAATGAACTCAATATATTTATCTTTATTTTATTTTTCTTTTCGTTATTCCTGCTTGTGTCTTTTAAATTTGAAAAAAATGAACAAAAAAAAAAAAAAAAAATGAAATGTCAATGTTTTTTTCTTTTCGAGAACAAAAATAAAAAACAATGTTTGTTGTGAATTGATTCTTTTTAGATTTAGATAAATATGTCACAAATTCCACCTGTTATTTCTTTAGATGGAACAAATTTAAGGTGAGAAAATTATATAAAATACAATCAATTCTTAATTCAGATATTCAATAAAACGTGTCACTTTATTTCACGTGCGTTTTCTTTTTTTGATCAATAGAATAAGAAAAAAAAAAAAAAAAAGAATAATATTATCTTTTACAAATATTTTCTCAACAAAGAAATAGATTGTAATTGTCGTTTGTCAATATTTACTTAAATTCAATTGGTTCAGATCAAACTTTTTAGATAAAAGTCTTGAAAAGAAACAATTTTATCATTGATCATATCGAATGTTAATCTTACAAATCTCTTTCGCTTACACAGGTAATAAAAATACTAAGCAGAATTCATTGATAATTATTAGAGTTTGTTTAAATTGAGATTTTCGTTTCAATGAGATCTATTATCACATGTTGAGACTAATTGAAAATGATTTTAAATCATTAAATTTCTCTATTCATATTTCCTTTTTGCATATAGATTCTTACAAAACTAATTCGACAAATAAAATTAGAATAAATCTTCAATGATCAAGCCAATTCACATAAGATTTTCATTATTTTTTAGAATATTATGGTCTATTTTCATCGATATTTTTTGTTTCAAATGACTATCATTAATAATCAGGCATGAAACTATGTCTTTCGAAACATTATTCAAAAACTAATGCATAAAGATTGTTGTCATCTTATCATCGATTCTTATATATGAATATGCTATTTTGCACTGAAAATTAAGTAAATAAGAATTGGTAATGAGGCGATAATGATCTTAGCACAATGTTTATGAATTAGTCTTCTGCTGATATTTTGAAAGACAACATTCCATGAGCTACTGCTGAGGATGAGCATTGGAAACAATAGTTATTCGGGAAATTAGATGAATTAAAAATTGTGATTATATCCAATGAGATGATGAAAATCTCATGTGAATCGGTTTAATCATGAAGAGTCATTTCATGACTGACTTTTGGCACACTCGGTAGTACTATGATTATGTTTTATGTGAACTTTATGTTCATAGATAGTATATATTTTACTTACTCTTTTTCGTATATGAAAAAACCAATTTATTTATTTTTTTCTAAGGTGAGTAACATTGAATCTCAGTAAACATAATTCGTAAAGATGATTATTTTAAGACTTTTCTTAATCTCATATGAATTGATGTTCTATGAATACTTATTAGTAGCGATGGAACGAGGATTTCAGTCTAAGAGGAGTGAAGCTCTGTATTCATTGTTCAAAGTCAGTTATTTTAGTGACGAAAATTTAATAATCTAAATAAAAATAAAACTTTCAAGATGGAGCTGAGCTTCCCCACTAGCTTCACTACTACTAATTAGAATTATTTGTCTTAAATTAATCTCGAGTTGATTCCGTCAGAACAGATAAATAACTGATGAAATATAAAAAATGGGCATACTGACCTTGTTCTATGTTATAGAAAAAAAAAATGCAATCATCTTTACAATGAGGAAATTTTTTGATTGTCTAAATGGGTTGATACGTTTTCTTTCCACTTAATCATATATATTTTAACATATTATAATTGAAAAAAGTACTATGAAAAATTAAAAAAAGAGTTCTCAAAATACAATAAACTATATTCTACTTTATTGATTGATTTCGATAACTATGTTTAATATAAAATTATTCACTCTTAGTTTAAATAATGATAATATAAATTCATCATAGAATACAATCGTTGTTTTGTCTTTATTTAACATTCTTATGAGTAAATGTAAATAGTTAATTAGATTCGAATAAAAGTAACATTTCGATTAATTTGATTTTTGTTTTGTTTAAAAATAAAAAATAAAAATAATTTTAAATAGTTATTCATCAGAATGTTCACCAAAAGAAGAATCTAGTCAAGTAACATCCATATCTTCATTAATAACATTGCCGGCAAGTCCAAGACAACAACTAAATAATATATCATCACAAACTTCTAATACTTCATCGAATCTCTCAGGAACTATTTATGATGTTAATGAAGCAAATTCTGACAAACAAACAGGTTGTAAATTTTTTTTTTTGAAATCAAAAAGAAAGAAAAAACATGTATTGATTTATATAGATGTTTTAAGTCTTCCAAATAATGAATCATCAAATGTAAAAATGTTTGTGATATCATCTCCATCAAATAGTGATGATGTATCATTTGAAGAAAATAAATCAATAATAAATGAATCAACAGATAAAGTTAATATATCATCATTATCATATCTTAAAACAAAACAACGGAAAATTGATCATAGAAGAAATAAAAGTGAACCAGTTATAAATGCAAATTTAGAAGATCTATCATCAATAAATTCATATCCAAGGACAACCATACTTGAATCATCATCAACAAGTACAACAAGTAATGAATCAGCAATGAGTAATAATGGATCTTTTGAAAAAAAACGAAAATCTTCAAAAAAACAAAGTTCACCATCAATAAATACAAATAAAATTAATGAAAATAATAATATATCATCTCAAACACAAGATAAATCTTCATCATCATCAACAACAAAAAAAAAGAAACCATGGTATTATGTAAGTTATTACGATTTATTTCTTATTTTTGTTTTTTTTTTTGAAAAAGAGATTTCAAATTTTTATTTAAAAATATGTTTGAATATAATTAATATATTCTAGTTTTGTTTCAATCCTCTTTATAAGTTAATAATAATGTCGAACAGTAAAACAATGAGAGATATTTTTACGTCTATAATCGCACATTATTTTGATTTTTCTCCTACATCAAAATACCGCTTTATGAAAAAAAACAGCAAATGTAATAAACAGAGAGAATGGTTAGGCCTTTTGTAATTCAAAGGGTATCGAACGAGAAAGAAAAAAAAAAAGTAAGACGAACAAGAAGAAAAATGTAATATACATAAAGAAGCATCAGTAGAGACGCATCTCGTTGAATTGTTTTTTTTTTTTATGGATTAATCATACTGTGTTTGGAATCTATTTGTTAAAGGTATTCGATCTAATAAATTTTTATTGTTTGTTTTTAATGTTAATATAATAAATTAAATGGATAGAATTCGATTATTTCTTCGTTCAAATAGTTTTCGAAATTCTCGAATAAAAACTGATTTCAATAATGAAATATTACCAATGCAATCGAATCTAATGAGTATAGAAAAAGAAAATTTCTTAATTGAAAATGATAAAAATGAAATATTAACACAACAAAGTTCATCACGTGAAAAATTATCTGGTGATAATCTTAAATCATACTTATCAAAAGATCCATCATCAAGTTCATTATCTTCAAATTTTGAAATAGTTTCACCAACTATTGAAATATGTTCGGATTTATCAATTCCATTATCGAATAATACAATACATAAGAATATTGTTGCAAATGCATCAGCATCAATATTAAATGCGCATACATTTACATATGAAAATTTTTCGAAAGAACATCATCATAAAAATCAACAAAGGTATTCAACGATTCTACAAGAAAATCTTAATCATTTATCATCATTATCATTTACAATGAGACGAACAAAATCATATCGTTATTCAGATCGAATAAGAAAATCTTCAATTATTTATAAATATTCAAGTGAAAAAATGAAACGTCGAATTATTCAAGTAAATCGTTCAACAAAATCTATCAGCTTTCCACTGTCAACTAACATAAACAATCAATTCTATCCTATTGCTTCACAACAAATATGTTCAGTAAAACCAACAGCTACAAATGCTTTTCTAACAGCAGCTTCAATACTGAAATATTGGGTAGATTTTTCACATTGCTAATTTTCATATTAAAATTAAGATTATATGGAAATTTATTTCTCTTTTTTGCTTTTTTCAATATTTCTCAAGATTCTTACATTGAAAACAAAAAAAAAAAAAGAAAAGACGAATGCAATGCTTTAAGAATGCTAATTGCTATTTAGATTTTTGTTTGTTTTTTGTTGGTGTTTCTTTTTAAATAATTAATTAATTAAATTTATTGTTTAGCCTTTTCAATCAACTTATCGTCAAAGAAATGAAGAATTTAGAAAAGTTTTTAAAGATTTATCAAATGATGAACGATTAATTGTTGGTAAGATATTCATTTTGATATAAATTTATATTTAAAAACAAAAAAAAAAAAAAAATTATTATTTAAATAAAGATTATTCATGTGCATGGCAAAAAGAAATCTTAATACAAGGTCGAATGTATATATCACAAAATTATTTATGTTTTTATGCTAATTTTCTTAAATGGGAAACAAGTTTATGTTTAAAATTTAAAGATATTGTTGCAATAACACGAGAAAAAACAGCTAAAGTTATTCCAAATGCAATTGAAATTCGATCAAATAAAAATGAAAAATATTTTTTTGCAAGTTTTGCAACACGTGATAAAACTTATGCTATGATATATCGAATATGGCAAAGTATTTTAATTGATCAAGTTTGTATTTTTGTTTTTGTCTATATTGTAAAAATTTATTTGTAAATTTTAGCCAATATCTTCTCAACAATTATGGAATTTGATTCATCAATGTTACGGAAATGATTTAGATATGACAACTGATGAAGAAGATACTTATAATAAACAATCAAAAACTTCTACACCTGAAAAAAATTCTCCAAAACAACAAACGAAAAACGAAACAAATGATAAATATTGTGTAAGATTTGTTTTATTTTAATTGTTTAAGATATAACTCCTATCTTTCTCAACAGTAGTTATCTTTTATGATAAGTTAGTTAGTTTTTTTTTGTGTGTTTTGTTGTATTGAATTAAGTTTATTAAATATTGTCTGGATATATATTTTTATATTTTATATCTTGTTTTATAACTAGACTTAAATAAATGAGTAGGCGTATGATGATAATAGAAAATATTTTCAAGGAAATCTTGTTAACTGTAGAGCATGCCAATCAAAAGAGAATAGTTATTCTTTCCTTGTCGTCCTTCATGCTTTTTTTTTATTCAAATAATGACTCTCACTTGAAAGAATGTAACGATAGATCATATTTACTTATTATTCTTTTTTCTCCTTTATTAAATCATATATTTCACCGAGTAAAAATTCTAAAAATTTTTCTATTTTTGTATTTGTTGATAGAGTGTAACACCAAATTCACTTTGTTCAAAATCTAGTGAAAAAGAAGAAATTGACGATCATTCAAGTATATCATCTTATAGTGGACGTCAAATAGATGATGATAATTATAATGATGATGATAATCAAGGTATAATACCTATTGGAGAAGAAGCAAATACAAATACACTAATACGTCAATCAAATTCAAATATAAATAAACAAGATAATTCTTTTATAACAATGTCAATTATTCCAGGTTTACTTTTCTTTTTTTCTTTTCATTAATAATATTTATACAAAAAAGAAAATATTATTTGAATATAGAAACAAATTATCTTTCAAAATGTCCATGTGAATCGCATTTAGCTACTCAATTAATTGATCGAACATATTCATTGTCGGTTGAACGTCTTTTTGATTATTTATTTGGTGATAATGATTTTGTTGTTGCTTATCATGCATCACGTCGTATTAAAGGTTTTTATTTTTATTTTTCAATATGTATTTGATTATTTGAATTTATTTTCTATAGATTATCATGCTGATGAATGGAATCATAATGAAAAAACAGGAAAACGAGAACGTTTATGCACTTATAAAGTTGGTGTTGCTGCAGTTTTTGGTGCAACAACCATTTGTTCGAATGAAAAACAAGTAATTAAGAATTTTTGATGTTTAATTTTATTTTATTTCTAAATCTAAAATCAATAGGTTATTCAATGTGAACTATCAAAATCTCATTATATAGTAGATACAGAAGTTCGAAATGAAGGAATTAAATATGCTGATGCTTTTTTTGTTGCATCTCGTTATTGTCTTGTACAAACTGGACCTAATAAATCACATTTAAAAGTTACTTGTGAAGTTAGATATCTTAAAAGTTTAATGATTATTATTAAATGTAAGTAAGAATTTATTCTTTATTTTATTCATTTAAATGATTATATTCCTATTGAATAATATCGATATTCATTTCAATAATGCCATCATCGCCATTCTAACATCAGATTTTTTCCTTTCTATTTTACGAGAAGAATATTACTTTGATTGTTGTTTTATGCGTTCTGTTGAATGAACAGTGTTGTATTGATGGCATCATCCTAGAAGACTAATCATATATAAGAATAATAGTTATTATTTAAAGGAGAGATGAATTGAAGTATTTCTTATTAAAAATATATTAGAATGAGTATGTGAAAAATAGTAAAATATGTTTCTCATAAGATAAAATGTTATATTTTATCTATTTATTCAGCATTCATCGAAAAAAATGCAATGGCTGCTCTTCAAGATTCATATACAGATTTGAGTAAGTTTTTCTTGAATATTTGAACTTGCTGGTGCTACAATGTTTGGCTGCTAATTAATTTTTTTTTGCTTTTTAAAAGACAATCGAATCGAACTATCAACATCAACAGGTGTTTTGCTCAATTTTTTTAAAATTTCTTTTCACAAATATTTATTATTATTTTTTAATAAATTATTTAGTAAAACGTATTGATATTAATTGTTCAAAACGTCCACGATCTTCGAGTACAACAAGGAATACTGAACAAGATAAAGAAAATCAACCAAAAAGGAAGCATTCACAAAAACAACAATTAACTAAATTAAATTCTACAACCAATGATTCTTCAATAGATCAACAACGAAAACAAACAACTCACAAAGAACCTATCCATCACACTCAAAGTAAGTCCTTTTTCAAACTGTAGTTTTTGATAGAAGACAAGTCTAACATGGAGTTTTTGCACTCACCATACACACTAACTCATGATAAATTAGCCACAAGAAAAGACGAATATCACAATTTAGTCATTATGCTATTCAGTGAGTAATTCGAGACAAAGAACCGTTAGTACCGTGTTCAGAGCCATTCTATGCCTCACAGTATCAAGGGTTAAATCAGTGGCGTACGCAGAGGGGGCCGAGGGGGTCCGGGCCCCCCCCCCCCCCCCGGACGGAAAAAGCCCGGGGGGGGGGGACGGGAAAAAAATTTTTCCCGGTAAAAAAAATTTTTTTGCCCCGGCGCCCCCCCCCCCGAAAATGGGGCCCCCCCCCCCCTTGAAAAATTTCTGCGTACGCCACTGGTTTAAATACAATATTTGTTGAATACGTGTCGAACAACGCAGTCACTAATCTATGATGATTTCTCACGAAATAAAAAAACATTTGAGAAAAATAGTTTAACTTGATTATTATTCTCAGATATAAACTCGTTTGATTAACTAATACCTTGTCTATCGTTGACATCAACGAAGACAATATTGGAAATTATCAGTGACAATGACGTTTATTTTGAATACTTTTCTAAAAATAATTTTTAATCATAAAAGATAAGCTTTAAGATTGACATGTAGCAGCAGATGAAACAAATCTAGATGAATATTATTCAAGAAAGTTAGATTCATACACATAATAATGATCTTCAGAATGTCAGAAGAGAAAATAATCAATTTGAAACATCCATAATATATGATTGTTTTCTTTTTGAATCTAGTTTAATTATATTTAAAATAATTTATTCAAATTTGATAGTTTATTTTTCTATAAAATGACTTATTAAAAATGGATATATAAAATTTGACAGAGGAAAAGTAAATTTTAAGATTATTTTTATCTGATAATCAATGTTGATTATTATTTAGAACAATAATTTTCTTTTTAGTTGTAAGAATAAAAAATATTCCATTGTAGAAGTTTTAATCAATTATATTTTATAGGACATGTCAATAAATCGAAATCGGGTAAAATTGAGATTGTCTATCATCTTGAAAGTTTTAGCATATGTAGAATTTCAATAATGATTTCATGCAAAAGAAGAGAAAAAAAATGATCAATATTTAACAAATGATATATGAATAATTTTCAAATAATTAATTATTTCATACAAATTTTTGAAATAAATTATTAAACTTTAGGTGGAAAGTTAGTTTTATCTTCGTCATCAGATACGTCATCTTCTTGGGTATGGTCAAAAAACCATTTGTTAGTTCCATTTTGTTTAATAATGTATGTATCAATAAGACGTATTTAACATATTTTTTCAATAAAAAAAAAATTTCTTATTGAATTTGTTGTTTTTCTTTTTTCTATTAAATAGAATATTAATCCTTGTTAGTGTGAATATATTTTTATGCATTAAATTAAATGAAATCGATCAAATGACTGATCGTCTTTCAAAAAATTCTCCATTATGGTCACAAGGATATTCGTAAGAGAGAAAAAAAAAACAAAATTCATTTAAAAAATAATTTTAATTATAAAATTATGATGATTAGGTATCCAAAAGAAGAATATCAATGGTCTTTATTATTAAAAAGACAAGAAGAATATTATCAAGCGAAATTAACTGGTCTTCGTTCTGTTTTAATATCAACTCATAATGCATTAAAAAATGTTTGTCTTGATATCACGAAAATAATACATAAATAAATAATTTTTTTTTGTAATAGGTAACAGATGCTCTAAATGAATTAACCAAAGTAAGCAGTGGAACAAGTTCAAATGCACCTATGGATCATCTTCATTCACTGTAGGTTTATTTTGGTGCTATTTTTTTTACCGGTGTTTTTATTTCTTAGCTTGTTCTACTGTTGAACAGTCTTTATTGTAAATTCTTTTTTCTTATTGTGTATTTAATTCACTAAGAGAAATATGATTCCATTTTTTACTAAATCTTTGAGCAAATGAGAGAAGATAAATCTCGTTTATACTATTGAGAAGCTAACATATCTATCGTCAAGTTTTTCTTTGTTTTTGCCATTTTAAAAACCATTTTAATTGTTATCGAAATAAGATATTCAATAAAAGTAAACGCTTAATCGATTGTTTTTTTTAATTAAGTCAACAAACAATATCAAAATATTCTTTTTACATATGATACGGTTTCTCAAATTTTTGAATTAAAGCCGAAAATAAGTGATATGAACTAATCGATTTCATTCGACGAAAGCCTATAGTCAAAATAAATTTTTCAATGAAATGAAACTCGGTTTCAAACTGTCCAAATGTGTTGAACTGAAAATATTTACTTATTAGAGTTCCTATGAGAAAAATCAACGTTATTATCTTTCGAAGGTTTTGTGTGACTTTGTTGTCAAAAAAAAGAAATCCGTACTAATTTGCAAGTCCATCGGTACACATTCATTCAGACGTTCTTTTGCTTGTGTAAGACACAGAAAGGTTCCTTGATAAAAGACTCTCACACTCAAGAGAATCAAAAAAAAATTTCAATCAAATGGTTCTTTCGGAAATTTGCATTGAATACATTTCATAAATAAGATCATCATATTACCATACCTTCAAACATAATTTCTAAAATGACCATATACTAGAAACTAACGATAGAACTCCGGTATACATTTCAGTACAACCGTGTAGGTTTCGTCTAAAAAACTTGTTTCAAAACTCATAGTCTAGTTCTAAGTACAAATTGATTAGCTATATTTTTTTTTTGCTTCAGTGAAAATTGTACTGATGAGTTCTTTTTTATCTACCATCAACAAAGTACTTTTTAATATCATCGAAGCGTGCGCTGCTATTAAGAAAATATAGTGTTGAGTACATAGTTTCAATTGGTAACATTGACATTATATTATTTTTATTGATATGTTTAATTGTTACGCTATGAATAATATCACAATACTTATGTGAGTTGTTTTGAAAATTGCAGATGAATACGATATAATATATAGTTGACATTTTTAAATCAAGATCATGCTTTTATTAATAACAACAAAGAGCAGACGAGTTTTTCAACAAGTAAAGAAATATACACCAAACAGACAATTTTTTTTGTGAAATATATAACTATGCAAAGAAGAAACAATGATTATCAGAGTAACTTTTATTAGCGTTATTTATTGCAAATACTTCTAGTGAACCGTGTTGGCCACCTAGCTTCTCATACGATGACTGAGATATTAGTTAATCACATCAGGAACAACGAAGACAGCTTCTATCAGAAGAATACTAAAGTAAACTGTAAAAATGATGATCACAGGTCTTGTTGCAGTCATGTTTCGTTGTTTTGATAGACTGTTACTAGATTTTTCTAGAACTTTTAATTTTTTTCCCTTGAGTTTTCATCTACTCTTGCGAAGGTAGGTATAAAATTTTAATGAGATGCAAATCAATATACTTTTGGAAGACTACTATTTAATGAAAAAATCAGTTCGGATATTGAAATATCATCTATTTGCGTTGTTTTCAAAATAAATGATTTTAACGCCTGACAACGCTTATCTTGAATAAAACTGATAATTTTCTGACAGTAAAGCAAGCATTACAACCAATGTAAACTATGGTTAAGTTTTCGAAAAGATGAATAGTTTGTATCTATGATAAAAATTTTAGAGAGTTTGCATTGATTATTGATGAGATATAGATATCATAATGTAAAAAAATGAAATTCTGTGACGCTTGGTCATGCCACACTGTATTATTTTCAAGACCAATCAGAGTCTGAATTTCTTCATATTGATATAGCAGATAGAGGAAAAAGGTCTTTCTGATATTAGTATACTCATATGAGTACGTCATTTACTGCTGTCCTTTTATATGAAAGCATACCTGATGCACGGTTAGCTGGCTTACACATTCAACTTGATGTATCTAAATTAACAACAAATAAAATACCTCTTATTTACAACTATAAATATAGTAATTGGGATGAGTATAAAGATGTTTGGTTAGTTGGTAGGTTAAATCCAAGTGATATGACAGCATATAAAATAATAATTATTTATGCGTTCGTTTTAAAGCAATCTATAGAGAAATGGTATACTAAACTTGTTCTATCTAATGGTGGAACTATAAATTGGTCAAGTGTTTTAAATTGTCAACAACTTACTTATGAAAGAATTAGTAATCTCGGACGTGATATGGCCTGAAGACTATCAAATAACTAATGATGGTACTTCATGTCTCATTGATAGTTATATAAAAGCAAAAAAATAATTGCTTTAATAACTGAAAATATTCAGTAGTTTTTTCCATTAACGAAAAAGATTATACACTTAGGTTTTCTCTATAGTATAATTTATCTGATACTTTTAGTTTCTATTTGTGGTTGAATCTACTTGATTTAAGCAAAAAAAAATCGATTTTCTATACGTTCATGGTATACTCTTGTGTCTTCAAAGTGTACCGATTTTTCTTTTATTTCCTGATTTGATTTATAAAATTTTTTCAATTAATCATTCATGACCAAGGAAATAAATGCTTATATTATCAATTATTTGAATAACTGAATAGAAATTTTCGTCAGAACCGTCATATAATAATCATCTTTTATGTCGTTAAAATCGTGTCACTTTTGGCAAATAATCCATCATTTTTTAAATAATAAAAAAAATTACTAATTAATGCGCAATTTTGCAACAGTTTTCAAGATTAAGTATTGATTTTTTAAACGACAAATATTCCTTTCCTTCATTTAAATGCATGACTATCTCAATAAACAGTAAGTCATATTTTATACAGAAAAAAGATTGTATCATTAACTGCTTATTAGAAAGAAGAAAATCATCTCGTTCGTCATTTCCGAGAAACATGTATGTTCATGTTAGTCAGCAATGATTGTATACATATGGAGACGTAGTCATAGTCCTACGTATAAATACTACGACTAGCTTTCATCATCACAAATGTTATTTGGATAAGCGCAATGTTCTCTGAAAATCGGCAAAAATCACTAGTTTAGGCGATTAACTCAGTATATGCAACAATTCTCAGAGACAGGCAAATAGCTGGTTGATAATATTGTCGTTCTGTTGTTTAGAACGAAGAAAAAGATAAACAAAACGAAGTATTCAGTGTAACTTTCTAATCTAGAAATGTTCAAGACAACAAACATAGACAAGAAAAGTTCGTAAGTGTGATTCAACAAAAGAATAGAACCAACACCTGCATCTGCATACTTTCAAGGTAGAGGATGTGCATTTGTAATAATGGAAAGTCATCTTAACTTGAGTTTAGCTAGAAAGAATGTGAATCTCAATAAACTCTAATTTTAAAAACCTAAGTTCAGTGATTCTATTGAAGTAAAAAAAAAAATGAATAAATCAAATTTGAACCACGTTCATCATATCTAAAATAATTGACTAATTTACAGTTAATAAAAAGTGATTCAGTTAATGTGTATTAATATTTATTGAAGTATTATATATTTATCCAAATGAAAACTTGTTATTATTCTTATTACAGACAACCGATAATGAATAGAAAAATTTGAAAAACTAATCATAGTTTCGTACCAGTGTCAGAATATAATAATTCAATAACATTATTTTGGTAAAATGGCCAAGATGATCTAGAATAATATATTAATTTAATTAAAATAAGACAATAAAATCTTACTGGATTGATACTAAAGATGAATGAAGTATCATTGATAAGTTTTTTAATATAATACTTATTGATTTACTATATTCATCTACATCTCTTGTCTTCAATATATGACAGGATATATCTTTTTAATATAACAAACAAAAAAATACAAAATATGAAAATAAGATAAAATGATTCATGAAGATAAATTAACTAACCTGTTTCGATCGATGTTTTTGTATGCATAATAATTAAAGATAATTTTTTAATCGAGATATGAGATTCGATACTCGTATGAGGAGGAAATATATTAACTAAAATACAAATACACAAATCAAATTAATAAAATAAAACAAAGATTTTACAATATAGATTAATTCGATTGATTACTTCTATCATTATTGAAGAAAATAATGGAACTGATTCATGATGATTTATAATTTTAGTCATAATTATTTTTGATAATTCAACTTCAGCCATTTGTGCTATTTTAACAGCAATACGCCAACTAATTAATAAAATATAATAAGAATATCTAGTTTACATATATATATATATGATGAATTGATTTTTATTAAAGAATTCCATGTTTAATAAAATATAAAATTTAACGTGAATCTTAAACTATTTCTTTAATCAAAATAAAATATATTACTCGATTAATTGAGCATCATCTGAATAAATACACTTGTAAAAATTCGTATCAATCAATGGAAGGGCGTGTAATATATGAAATCGTTCTTTGTCTAAAATACATAAGAACTAATATATTAAGTTTTACATTATACTTATAAGAAATACTTGATTCGGAATAAATCATTTCAAGATCATTCAATAAGAACTTGTATTTAATATAGTATCGTTTTTCTCTCATTTGTTGCTGCAACACAATCACACAATATAATATCAATATGAAAATAAATAGAACAGTTTATTTTTCGCATTATTTCAAGTTATCAATGATCACTACAACAGTTGGTCAAATACGCTCTGAGCGTCGTTTTTCTTGAGCCATATATTAATGGATAGAACTTGAAATTCACACTCTACTCGTCTTCATTGAAAACTGATTGATTTATTTGAGCTTGTGCCTCTGAGTGAGCAAATCCAAAAAGTTGTTTCATCTTACTTTCTTGAAAGAAAAAAGTAAGTTTCAAAAAAAAAACCAACGATTCTCTGTCGAAAACAAATAAAAAAAAAGTCAACATTCTAAAATAAATACCTTAAATAAGATATCATCTTCTTCTTTATCATCATTGAGACATGATCTAAGTATTAAATTACTGAAACGAATAATGTTTGCCTTTGAATCACTACAAAGGAAAAAAATGAAAAATAAAAGACTAAAAAACAAGAATAAAATTCATAACTGTTTAAAATATCCATATTCTGGCAATAAGAGAGATAAACCGTTGACTTGCATAGACATATCAAAAATCTTCTTATTAGATAAATCATATTCCATTTGTTGAAATGTTCGTCGTTTTATTCTACATAATATTAAAATAGTATATATTGATATAAGATTATTTTTGATGAACAAACTGTGAAGATACAGAATAAGTATTTTTATCAATTGGTTCAAAATGTGCAACAATTTCATTGATTGTGGCCTAAAAAAATAAAAGAAATTTGTTCAAATTGAATATTTATATCAAGTTTGTTCAAATAAAAAATATTTTTCATTATTTGCTTACAGCATGATAGATTATAGTTAGTGGTTCCATTATTAAAAGAAATCGAAAATCAGCTTTTTTATGAATTGGAGCTAATTCAAATTCTAGATGTATCAATGAATTTAATGATTTCGAACTTGATGTTAATACTAATGGTCGATGTTGTTCATTAGATTTTAAACCAAATATTCGAAAATATCCAATATCAAATATAAATCTTAAAATGAATAAAAAAAAAGAAATTAAATATAAATGATTGTATTTTTTTATTATACAAGATACTCGACGAAATAGCTCGTCGTTTGTAATTCATTCGAGTATTTTCCATTATAATATGACTAATTATATCATTTTTTTCATTTAATCTAAATAAATAAAAATATTTTTACAAAAAAAAAATAAATAAATTACCGAATTATATTACTTTCTTTTTTTTGATGCTGATAATAAAGCAAAATCAAGTTTGTTTATTATTAGTTGTGCTTCAATATCTAACAACTATCAAACAATAATTACCATTTATAGAATATTTTCATAGAGAAAAACAAAACCTCTTCGGAGAAAAATTCATCTTCATCATGCATGTTTCCTTTGATTACTCGATGATGATCTGAAAACATAACGGAATAAATTTATATTATTTTGATTAGATTATCACTTGTACATAAAATAATATATGTCATTATAATTCATATTATCAATAATATTTAACGAGGATACCTATCTGAATGGTTTTCTACATTAGAGGTCAGGTTTTTTCACATAGACATAATAGTCATCTAGTTGATCATAATCTAATGAAGTTCTAGTCTAATAGTGAAAATCGTCATGATTTTCAATTGTCATGAAATTTAGTCAGAAGAATAAATGCCATACTAGTGGCTAATGCTTCGGTCGAAACATTGTTTAACCCATGTTTATATTGATTACATTTTCAATCTTGCATCTTTATCCTCGTTTTATTCCTGTTTTGTTCATTCTATCGATGTTAAATTTTTTTTCATTGTTCATTTCATTTTTATTAGAAAATATGTTGATATAATTTATTAAGATGATTATATTTTAAATAATTTTTCTATACAGCAGTGCGTTTATGGTTTCTAACATCGTACTTCATATAGAGACAAGTTTTCTTTTCCTGTCAGAAATCTAATATAAAGATCATTCTGCAAGCTGGATGTAGAAGAGGCCTTCGTCCTACAAGGAAGAAGTTTTTAATGTCTTTTCCTGTGACCTGCAAAACACGATAACTGAGTGATAATGTCCCGTTTAATGCAGCGTAGAGTGAAGAAAGTTGCTCTATAAGGTTCTTCCGTTCATGAATTGATTTCATTCTTGAAATATATCTATGAACGATATTAAGAATACAACAGTAATAACAAATGTTCATCGGAAATTTTCTAGAAGAATACATCTTATGACTTTTGTTATATTCTGCAATTCTCACGAAAGCTTGCAGATTCTCATACGTCTTAGCTATTCGATGTTACCAAGAAATAATCTCCTGCATCTGAAACCTTCATAATATCGTCTAAGGATCATAAACTATTATTCTTATAGAAAAATTCATGTACAAGTTCCTTGTTAATGATCTTTTTTATCATAATATACTTGAATAGATTGAAAAATGAGTACAATGAACATAATTGAATAAGAATGGACTCATTTAACAAACAATTTTTTGTATTTTAATTTAGACAATTACTTATATGTATGAGCAAAAGGATGAGTTCAAACGAATCATATCAATCGGATATATTCTCTCGTTAGTTTAAAAATAAATAGTTGTTTATTTTTCAAACCTTGATTCACGTTTGTTCTTCCACTCCACCACCAACTCCACCAACTATAATCATCATAAGCATTTGTGTCTGCATATAAATGAGTCTAGAATTTTGTCATTGAAACAAGAGACTTCAGTTAAAATAAAATAAAAGTATACTTCTAATTCAACACTATGTCGAATATATGCCATTGTGAAAACATCTAATTTTGATTCTAGGACCTTTTTTTGTTATTATTTAAATAAATATGAAATATTTGTTAAATATTAAAAAACAAAGTATTACTTGAAAACGATCTTGTTCTTCTTTTGTTAATTTTGTGTTTCCAACTAAATCTTTTAAACACAATTGACGATATTCTCGACATCGATCTTTTAGAAAAAGAGAAAAAAAAGAATATTATTAAAATGATAGTATAGCAATATTCATACCATAGAAAACACTGTAATTTTGAAATTTAATAAAATCAAGTAGATCAGAAAATTGTTTTGGATCAATTTCAAAACTCATTCGTTCTATTTTATTTTTTATTTTATACATTGGTCGTTGAAAATTTTGTTCCGCGAATTTAGTTGAAATTTCTAATTCTAAATTCAAATTGACTGGATGCAAAACTATTTGAAAAAAAAATAAATAAAACTAAGAAAAAGAAAACATTCAATTTAATATCCAAACTATAATTCATTTGATCGCTTCTTGGTACTTTGTCATTAGTCGCTATTTTCGATTTGAGATCATCCTAAAATATAATTCAACAATTAAGACTCAAGTTTTGAAAAATTAATAAAAGTATTGATTAAATTAAAGAAAAAAAATATTCGAAAAATAAATCTCCAGAGAACTTTTAACAATCTGAACAAGATTTCTTTAAAACTAAGAAAATCTTTGAAAAAACAGTCGAAGTTTATAATAGAGATATGACATTAGAAATAGTCTTAGTATTTTAATTAACCACAATGTTCTGTTTGTATTTCGATCAGAATTACTTAATGTCAAGTTGTTACCATTAATTAATATTATTTTTTATTCTAATTCATAGATTATCGTTGGACAAGTTTTTGAATAATGCTTTCAAGTATATAAATTTTTGTTCTTTTGTGGGAACCTTCCGAAGGCAAACTCTGAGAGGTATAGTCTCTGATAGCATATCTATTAGAATTCACAAAAATAATGCTAACTAATTAGCATTAATTAATTCTAATGTGAATACAAGCAAAGTACTAAGGTTAATTTTAATCCTAATTCCTAAAGTATCATCATTATTATAATAGCTATTCTAATTTGACATTTCTAATTTATGATTTACTGATTAACAGTTAAAATCTTTTTCGAACGTGTTATGCTTCTGTTAAAGTATTTTAGAAAGACAGCAAAAGAGAACATTTTATAAGAAGACAAAGAGAGTTGAATTTGTCTGAAAACAAATTGTTTGAGAAAAATAAACTGATTTTCATTGAATAACTAGATTAAATTTATTCATAGAGAATACTAAAATAACAATTGAATATTTTCATATATAATCTTATGAAAATCTCAGTTAAACTTTGTTATATTAATTATTTTGATAAAAATATGAATAGAATACTAACAACAACATATTGAAATGGCATATGAATTCTTGATGTACAATTCGTATTCCAATAGAGTGATAATAATTCGACTTCTTTAAGCTAAAATAAAATTTTTAAATAAAATGCAGTAAAATAATTAAATATTTAAATAATAAAACCTGAGCAATGACAAGTGTATTTTCTTTAACTTTTTCTGCTCGTTCTTTATTTGTTGTTGTCTATATAAATATATTGATAAATATTTGAAAATAATATAAAAATAAAGTTACAATTAATTGTAAATAATGAATTGTAACACCAAATGAAAATGGATGTCCTAATTTAGTAGTTGATTTCGTTTCATAACTAATATGAAAATTTCTTAGAGTTATTTCAAGATTTTGTAACATTTGAAATTTCATTTTTTCAAAAAATCCTCTTTCTTTTTCATTAACTTTTTGTTCATCTATAAATAAATAATTATGAAAAGAAAATAAAAATAAAACAAAAGTAAATATTTAACCTAATGCTGCTTTTCTAAGATTATCCAATTTACGTTGAACTCGTTTCATTTTTTCTGCATGATATTCATGCAAATCATGATGTACTTCTAAAAAGAGAAATTTATTTTATATTCGTTCATCAATTTATCCATTAAGTTTTGCCTTTTTTGTCTCTGTCAAAAAGCTTATTTTTATCCATAATATTGAGTTAATGTCAATATGAAGACAAGATTTACCGCTACAACTTAGCAAAGCTTGTGAAAATTAGTTTATATTATTTGTCACGAAGCTTTTATTATTAAAGTTTGAAAATTTATAATGATCTTTTCAAAATGGATTCATTTTTCTTGAGCATAAATCAGATAACTAAAAAACTATGACTCTATTACACTGTAGCGCATAGCAATCACTTCATTTGAAAACACGTCTGAGAAGGCTTTGACAAACGAATAACTATTAGATACAGAAAAATCTATGTTGAGAAGAGCTCAAAATACATTTAAATAGTCAGATTCTTATTGATTATTTCAACAACATAAAACAATTCATTGGATCTTTTTTGAAGAATATTGTTTCTAGACGTTCATAAAAGTGTTGTTTTTCTTAATTAAGTTAGAAAAAACTTTTTTTTCTCTCAGAAAAAAAACATACCATTCTTCGGTACAATTAACATATAGAATCCGTCGAGTTGTACTTTTGTCGGATGTGATTGAAGGTTTTTCCATGGAATAGCGATTGAAAGTTTTTCTAATAAGAAAAATAAAAATAATTATTTTACATTAATCAATAGATCTAACCAATAAAACCAGTCGCTACTGTTACAGGAAGACCCATTCCAACCTATAACAGATAAATAGTGTTTTTTTATTTATATAAAATCAATGATTTGAAAAAAATATTTTTTATATTATTAAAATAATTTGAATGTAATTAAATATAGATAATAAATATGAAATAAATATATGAACAAACCAATGCTTCTGGTTTTAAATGAAGATTTTCTAATGTAACATTTCCTAAAATAAAATAAAAATAAAAAATAGAAATGAATAAATAAATAATAAAAATTAATTACCATGTTTAAAATCAAGTTTTAATTTCTCATCATCTAATTTTTCAATATAATCTTTCATATATTTATTAATTATATAACGAACAATTAGTTTCAGTATCATTTATATATTTTAATTACTTTTTCAACCTGAAACAACCAAAAAACAAACAATGAAGATAAAATAATGCCGTTTGTTTTTTGGTTTTTATAAGAAATCGTAACTATTTGTCATTCATCGATTTAGCAACGAACATCATTGCTAATCAAATAAAAAATCGAAATACGAGAAAAAAGAAACAGAATTCATCAATTCTTTTCTTTTTCTTGATCAAACTTTTTTCAATGTCACTTGAAATTACGTCGAAATATAAATAAAAGTATTGAAATCATTTAAAATATATTATATTCTAATGAAAAAATGAATATTTCCAAATCAAATAGATATGAAGAATGAACGTTTTCTCACAAAAATACTTCGATGATTTGTTAATAATGTCTTATCGAAAATCTTATATATATACATGTAAACATCAACGAACTTTATTTATTTTATAAATTTGCTTTTTTTTCTAATGGTTTTCAATTGAAACTTTCGTATGTTTGAACTTATCTTCACTGAATTTCCTTTCATTTTTATTCAAATAGACATGTCACATAATGACAATAAAACTTCTTATTTCATATTTTCAAGTGATAATCGATGATCTTTTTTCATCATGAATTTCACTCTGGTGATTTGTTTGTTGAGTTTTTTTTCAACGATTTGTCTTTTTTAGAAAAAGTTTATTTAAAAGCTCAAAATGAAATGTTGATATTGATATGACATTGTCAGACGAGTAGCAGCGTCAAATCATTTTCTGTTTAATGGCAGTCGAATTTTTGAAACGTGGACTATGATGTTCAGTCTCTTCGTTTTATTATTGAAAAATATCAGTATTGATTGTCGGCCTGAGAGATTATATTTCGACTGAGAAATGCTTCGAGTCGACTATCAGAATTAATAGTCGAAATCTATTCTTCTTTATATACTATGCAGTTGAATGAGAAAATCTACTGAAGTTCAATAGATATATAGTTAAAAAAAATACTTTTTTTGGCATTGAAATCGAAATAAATCGTAGAAGAATGTTTTAGCTTTTTTCAATTCTAATCCATAGAACATCTAGTTTCGTTCGTTGATAACTAAATTTTGCACAAAAATTATCGAATTACAAGTTTTAAATGTTAACATTTTTCATTGATTCAAATACTTTTCTGCAAGTTAAATGAGCGTAAGATAATAAATAACAAATTGAGTATATTTGTGTTTCGAATGATATTGTCAATTTTTCGCTTGATGGTTAATTGAATATTGATTAAAAAAATATCTTTTCGATATGGTTATCTGATCATAAATCTTTTATTTAATATTCAAATAAAGTTTTGTGTTAAACATGATCAAGAGAACAAAAAGAAAACGTCATATGAAAAACAAAGAATTGTTGTTAATGTTGTCCATTGTTATTTATTTACAAAATCATATAAATAAATCAAGTTGTTTTTGGAATAACTGATGGACTAATTTTAGTAAAACCAAATGTATTTGAGAAATATTTTTGACTTTCAATTCCAGTTTTATCTTTTTCAGCTGCATTTGGATTAACAATTTCAAGGCCCTAGGAAAAAAAAGAACAAAAGAAAAAAAAAGAATTATAAAAAGAAAAATCTAAGATTGATATTCTTACTTGAAGTGGAGTAAAAGCAACACTAGATGCTGTTCCACTAATTTGTTTTCTATTATGTACTGTTGTTGTTCCACCATATGGATTATTTTGACGTTGTAAAGTTTTCTAAATAAAAAAAAATAAAACAATTATTAGAAAAAGAAAACAGAAAAAAAAACAAACTTGAAGTTTTTGAGAAATTCTCGCTTTTGTTTTTGAATCAACTTGTGCTGCTCGAACTTTTCCAGAACCTGATTTTCCAATCATACCTGTTGAAAAACCAATTGCATCTTGATATGCATCTTCTTCAATCTGAAATAATAAAAAAAAAAATGGAAAATTAAGAAAAAAAAATGTTAAAATAAAACAAAATAGTTGTACCTCTCCAAATTTCGTTTGATTAGCTTCAGCACGTAATTGAGTCATTCCAAGACGTTCTTTCATTTTTCTATGTCTTCTTCCACCACGTTTTTTTCTTCCAGGATCAATTGGTGGTGGTAATGGTTTAACTGCTTTAACCGGTGGTGGTTCTTGTAATTTTTCTAAACGTCGTTCGATTTCACTTAATAAAAATTTTCCTTGTTCACCATTTGGACTTTCATGAAAACTATCAATACGTGCAGCTAATGTTATTTTACATGCAACCAAACGTGCTACTCGAACTCGAAGATCCTAAACATAAGAATATTAATATAATCAACAAATATTTTCAAGTTTCAGCATTTTGTTTTTCAGTTTATCTTTTAAAAATAAAAATAAGATTTCAGAGACTAGAATAATTCGATGATGATTATGACTTATGATTGAGTAAGACAGATGTGTCATTAATGTATTCAATTTTAGCCTAATAATATTTCGTTTCACGACGAAATCAAAACAACAAATCTCAAATTGAAAACGATTTCGTGAGAAAATCTTAGAAATTTAAGAATATTCTCAAAAATACATCCCATCAAAAATATTCAATTGATTAAAATGACTCATTTTTTCAACGTTCTTGTGCAAATAGTCTGTATCTTAATCATTGTGACCTTTATCGCCCGAGGATCTGATTGGCTCTTTCGAAGTGTTTAGTTATTCTAGGACACTCTACGTGTCAACACTTTCAAAAGTAGGTGTTCGTCCTCGCGAAGTTTTCACATGTTTTTATTACAAGAGAAAATCTCAATAAAACTCTGAAACCTATCAGTTTTTGAACGTGCTATATGCTAATAAAAATGTATATAGATTATTGAGCAGTTAACTAGCATTCTCATCAATTAAAACTATCTTATGGAGAAGATTTTTGTTCATAATTTATTGGTTTAACTTCTTTTAGTAAATTGTCGGCAATCTAAGAACTTCAACGTTGTCTTATTGTTTAGTGTCGATTCCTATTTCGTTTCTCATATTCATCAAGTTTTCTTTTAGTATCAATATAATTACTTCTGTAGATTTACATCAAATCTATATGAATGAATTTGATATGGTAATTATATAGTAATTCATTAATCTCTTTGTATAATAGAGGGCAAGAATAAAAATGAAAATCTCTGTTCAAATCTTATGGAAGAATTTCAAGAGAGTTATCTTTAAAAAATTCTGGCTATTATTTCAATAGAAAGCTTATTAGACTTAGAACTAACTTAAAGGTTTTTACTCATAAGAATTGAGTCTAATAGGAAAATCCTAATTTCATTCTCTTAACCCTAATACGCCCACATGGGACCCACTCGGACCTCAGTGCGATTCTTTTTAGTGCTTTGTAATTGTAGCCCTATATAGGATCTTGTTTTCCGAGCTGTACTTTAGGGACACCCAGTACAGTACGCTGGTAACACCAATTAATCAAACCGGGGCTGTAATAAATAGTGTTACTTCAGGAGCGATAAGTTTTCAGGTACGCTTCAATTTGCCGAAATTTCAGTTCTAATGACAAAAGAAACCATATCAAAACTTTTCAGTAAGATTCTTTCCTTATCAATACAGAAGTTTCAGCTGAGTGCAACGTACTTAGAAATATTTCATTCCCAAAACATTCTTTTGTTACATGACAATCATCATCAAAACGAAAAATTTTGTTAGAATATCTGTGAATGTTTCATATGCAATAAACAATCTCAAACATTTTGAAAATAGAGAATGAGAAGAAAGTAAAAATAATTCCATAAATACCATTCAAAATAACTGCTGCTTGGTTTATTCGTCTTAGACTCAAGTCTCCTCCAGAACCATTATAGTTCCATTATAATATAATGGTAATATAGTATATTGTGTCTATTATGTTAGGGTGAGGTTCGCATCACTCCCCAGTTTGTCAACAAGTAGTAGTTCGAAAGGTGGGCGTATGAGGGTTAAATGAATAATCGAAAATCTGTAGAAGTTATTGAAATATTTTCATCATCAAAAGATAAACTGAAAAATAAAGTAAAAGTTAAAAACTATTTTTTTGTTAAAAATAACTAACCGGTGGACAATCTTGAACAATTTTCGAATAAAAAATGGCGCCAGCATGAGGCATAGCTGCTGTTGATGAAAAACCTCCAAGAAGTCTTTTATGTGCCCCCAGTAATAAAATATTACATGAAGGCATTTTTGTTAAATTAGTTAAACCTCCAGCCATACCCATTAATTTAGCTGCTGTTGATGCACCAACAATAATTGATAAATTTGGTGCGATAAATGTCATTCGAGATTCAACATATGATAATATTGTTTGTTTATTGTCACTTAAATTCATCGCCTAAAATTAAACAAAAAAGAAAGTTGAAGATTATTAAAAAAAAAATAAATATTTGATAAAAATACAAACCATTTGACATGCTTCCATAACACGTTCTAATTCTTCATTTGTTAGATTTTTTCTAGAAAAAAAAGAAAATTGAAATAATTAAATAAATAGATCAAATAAATAAATACCCTTGTGTTGTTGAAGCTGATACACTGACAATCATAATTGTTGCTGGTGTCAAAAATTTTTGTAAATTTTCATTCATTTTTGCTCGATCAACATTATTAGCTAATTCCTAAAACAAGAAAACAGAAATGTAATCAATGTTTTAAAAATATTCTAATGATAATTGAATATTCGTTTTAATTAATTTAGTAATGATTTAGATCAAATGGAAATAATTCTTTTTTTGTTCAATCTTTTCTAATAAATAAAAATGATTTACCTGAACAGTTTTAAGATAATCCATTGGTAATTGAACAAGTTGTTCTAATTCTGGAAATCTTTTATAATAAATTGTTCGAACAAAATTATGAATAATATCAATTTCATTATCAATTTCCACAAGTAAATTATTAGCGTCAACAATAAGTAAATATTCGGGATCATGTTCAACAGGACCTTGAATTTCTGTTGTAGATTTTCGTTGATGTTTTATATAAAAATCAATTTTTCTCATTGTTTCTTTAAGTAATATTGAATCTTTTAATTTGGCAACAGAATGAACACTATTATTATTTGGTAAAGATTTAATTGCAGCAGATACTTGATCAACTTCCATTGATTGATCATCTTTCAGATCATTTTGATCATTATTTGCAAGGCCTTGGCCTCCATCCATATCTTCAAGATCGGCAAGAAGTTCATCAGCAAGTGACATTTTTTTTTATCTGAAATAACTCAAACTAATCAATTATTCTTCTAGTTTTTGATTATTTTATATCAAATAATTTTCGTAATAACATGTCACTAACAAAAAATGTCTTTTATCCGATATTTTTTCTTCATCACCTGCCATAAGTCACAGGTAAATAACTCCGTGTTGCTTCTTCATTCGTTGAAAAATTATTTCACAATAGTATGTCAATGACAAGACATATGTTCTCTTACATTTAAAGTCACTTCGTGACACAAAAAAACCCCCCGAAGTTTCAATATGGAGGTAACTCATCATGAAAAAGAAAGAAAATTAGTTCCAAGATTTCGTCGAAAAAATCAAAATCAAAATTGTGTTGATATTGATGACCAAGAAGCACAAGCTTTAATTGAAAAAGATTTAGAAAGTCATTTTATATGGACAAGTGATACAAAAGATGATTTTAAGTATCATTATGATAATGATCAATTAAAAGAAAGTAGTCAACAAATTTCAATTAATGATCAAATAAATCAAAATGTTATTTTTGATATTGAAAATAAATCTGAACAATTATGGAAAAATAATATTGAACAAGATGATTATCAACTTTTTCAATGGAATGATGATCAACAACAATATAAAATATCTTTTTCAATTCAAAATACTCAAGAAAAACAACATCAATGGACTTTACATGATAATAATCAACAATTAATGCAATTTAATTTAGTCAATCAACAGGATCAACAATATAAACATGATTTAGATACAAACACGGATAATTCAAGAAAAAAATTTATTGAAGGAGATGAATTTCGAAATAACGTAAGAATTTGTGTAAATCATTATTTGTTAACTTTGTTTTTCTTTTCTTTTGTTTTTTTTTAAGATAAAATTCGCTATTGCATCTGATGATGAAAAATTAAATTTGTTTGTTAAAGATACCGAAGATATTTTATCAGTAAAAATCGATCCGTGTATTCCTCCAATAAATTCAACATTAAGTCTTCCTCAAAATCCAATTATTGTTCATTGGCTTGAAGGAACTTCTGCATATAATCTATCATTACCTGTTGAAGAATACTTTAAAGAATACTCTCCTTTATCTGAAATTAAAATTGAACTTGATTCAAAGAATCTGAAATATATAAAATGGTCATTAGATTTATTAAAAGAAAATCTAATTGTATCTTATTTAATTAGTTTACCCGATAGTCTTGATAAACAATATTCTCTTCCTGATAAATTTCATTTAAAATTATCAATTGATGATGACAATTATAAACAATTATTTTCTTTAATTGATTTTTCCTTTAAACAAACATTAAGTATTTCATCAGATGATATAAAACAACAATTATTATCAATAATTGATTCATTTGATATAAAACAAAATTTTGGAAATGGTGATCAATCTTTATTTTATCAATGGTCTTTACAAGAATTAAAAACAATTATATTAAATCTTTCTCCTTCAGAAATTATCAATTTAGTTTATTCACCAATCGATGCTAAACAAGTTTTACTTGAACATTTACTTATTGATAGTGATGAAGTAAGTGCCCGAGCTTTTCGTCGATATCGTTGTAAACATATGTCAATAAAAAATGATGATAAACATCAACTAGATTCTCTCGAAGGTTTAAATTTACAATTTAAAGGAAATGAACAAATTGCTATTGGAGAAGAACAAATACAAAATGATTTCAATGAAGAACAAATATATCGAGGTTAATTATTTGTTTGTTTCACAAATTAAATATTTCTTTTTCTTTTTGTGTTAATTTTAGATTTAACAAATTCTCAGGTATTATTAGAAGAAGAGCGTCCACAATTATATGATATAATAAAAAGTGAAAGTACATCAGTTAATTTGGGTTCTTGTTTATTACGATCTGATTATGAACGTCAACCACCAAAAACTTGGTCACGACTTCGTCGTGAAATTGGTTATATTTCATTTGATGCTTCACTTGCTCAACCAATATATAAGTTCGATAAATCATTTAAACGTTTTATACACATTCCAGTAAAACGTGATAGATGTTCGTATGATGTTTATCGAGGTTATTCGGAATTTATTGAAAAAATTCGATTAAATCCAGATAATTATTTTCGTCGATTTGATTCAACTGATCTTCGTCCATTACTTCATTGGTATTCAGAAAAACAACATCTTTTTTCTTCAAATAATCCAAATATGTTAAAACCACCAACATTTATTTGTCGTCGATTAGTTTTACGAACTATTTTAGCTAATCTTTATTGTGATGCCGATCCATGGAAATTACTTGTTATACGTATTAAAGGACAATTTTATTTAGCATTAGCTAATAAAGAAACAAAATCAGTTGAAAATATGTCTATTGATGAATATAGTGGTTATAAATTTGAAGATTTATTTACAACAAATCAACCAAATACAACAAGACTTGAAGAAAAAATTCCTTTAGAAAAACCTCAACAACAATTTCATACAGTACAATATTGGCAATTTGGAGATTTTAATATACTCTATTCAAATGAAATTGATGGAGAACTAAAATGTGATACACAACAAAAACCATCAACTACAGAAACGACTGATACCGCTAAACAAGTTAGTTTCGTTTTTTTTTTCATATAAAAATTTCATTTGATCTTCAATGAAATTTTTCTTTAGGAAGATAATGCAACAACAACAGAAGAAACAATAACAGAAAATGCCGAGTAAGTTATTCTTATATAGAATAGTTTGTTATCAAAAATAAATTCTTATTTTTTTAAAGAAAATCTACCGAAATAGATTGGTGGGAAGGTGGAATAGTTGTCGAAACGGAAAAATCATCCGAAGAAAATGAAGATAAATTAAAAGAAATTCAAATAAATGAAAATCTTCAACTAACAAAAAGTGATGAAAATGAAGATAAATTAAAAGAAATTCAAATAAATGAAAATCTTCAATTAATAAAAAGTGATGAAAATGAAATAATTGAAAAGAAAAAACGAAATGAATATGAATTAAAATCTGGTTATATTGAAATGAAATGTACAAATAAAAAAATTTTTTATCGAGATCAAAATAAATTACAAACACTTGGTTGGTGGGCACAAATGTGGTTAGCTAATATAAATACACTTATGATCGGTTATAAAACAACAAATGATGGAATTGTTGATCATTTAGATGTACTTTCAATTGATAAACTTATTTGGAAATTTCTTTCAAAATATGATCTTCGTCTTAAATATTGTATTTCTTATCTTTATTCATTTCTTAATTTAATTCAAAAAACAGTTCATATTGATGATCCAAATACAATTCATGCATTTGCTTATATTCCTCAACCATTAGAGATTGATCCTCTCACTGGAAAACCTTTACAATATGATTTACCCGAATGTGTTCCATTTCGATATACACAAATAAAAAGATCAAATCAAAGACATTCAAATTTTATGCCTCGATGGTATATTCAAGATATTCAACGAAGTGTACCTGTTGGAGGAATTTTAGAAGATAATCAACTTAAAACTGTCGAACAAGAAATGAAAAAACGTATTGGACATCGTGGAAGAGCATCGTGTATTCTCAAACAAGAGAAACAAGAGAAACAAAATAAACGAAAAAGGAAACATAAATGAAAATCTTTCAATTTTAAATTAATTAAAATTTAGTAAACAAGATTTGTTAATATTATTATTTTTTTATGTTAGTGAATAGATTAATTAACCAATAACAATAAATATGAAGCTACAATTATCAATAAATTCCCCCAATAAATAAAATCGATATCACAATCCGAATAATTCAGATAAAACAGTACGTGTTTCCACTGGACTTGTTACCGAATAACCTTTTGTTCGTGGATCACTATAAATCTCATAATCATTGCCACCCTAGATACAACAACTCAACTTTTAATTTTATTAAATGATCAATCTTTTCTTATTCATAAATATTCAATATCAATTCGTTTAAAATACTTGTTCTTCAAATTCTTATAACGAAATAGACATAAAGAATTCGGATGAGAAATCAAGTTTTCAAAGAAACCAATTATGAATATTGACACTAAAAATTTTCTTTAGGATAAATAATTTTTATTCATCAATATGATTTAGAATATTTCAAACTCTGAGATCGACGCAAAATTTGTTCAGCTATGAAGTACTATCATGAATAAAAAAAACATCAGATTAATCAAAGGCATATGGAAACATTTGATCAGTCTATGGTCGCTGTGTTTTTTCTCTGCAAGTCTAACCATCTTCTAATTGGATAATCCTCTTCGGGAAAAAAAAAACTTTGATGTTGATATTATGAACTATTTAATCGTGTTCTGACATAAATTATATTCTCAATAAAGTCTTTTAAAGTTTATCTAAACATAAATAAATTGATCTTAATTACTCAAATCTACAAAAAAAAACCGACTCATTCTAATAATATCTAAGCATAACATTTACTAAAAATAGTCATCTAATATTTAACTGATGTAAGATAGAATGTCTGTATAGAATACAGTGATTTATCTACTAGGTGGGCTGGGTGGGCGCCGCCCACTCGAAAATATACAGCAGCCATTCGTCTACTGGGTGGGCCAAGTGGGCGCCGCCCCCCGAAATTTCGACTCGCCCACTCGGGAAACGAAATCTAGATGAAACACTAATAGAATATAATGATAAACTAATATTTAGTTATGTTATAAAAAAAAAAAAATAAATGAATCAGAACAAGCATTTTGAATGTATCGACATTGATTATTAAATAAATAATTGTTTTTTCTTTTTATAAATATTTGTCTATATAATAAATAAAAAAGACGAACTTACCTGAAATGTTTTATCACCAAAAAAATAAATATTGGAAATTTTATCATTCTCTAAATGTTTTAATGCATATCGTTTATCCCATCCTTCGGGAAAAACATCAAAACTAATCTGACCACCTTAAAAGAAAATCAATTAGAAAACAAAAAAGAACAAGTAAATTTTAATAAATAAAATAAAAACAAACCAATGGAAAAGTAAAGTTTCAT